ATTATTCCTCAAAAATACAACTTGCCTAATAATTCTGCACTCCCTGTAGTGCTGACAGACAATTCACAGGAAGGGGCATATACAGTTAGGTCGACAAGTTTATAGACAGTGACAAAATGTTTATAATTTAGACTTAATTTAGTCTTTACATCATCTTATGGATTCTAAATCAGACGGTCAAGATGTGACGTTTTAGGTTTAATTTGTCACTTAGTACAATTTTTACTTTTACTTACTTTTTAATTGTGCAAGTAATAATAATAATAATGAATTGCATTTATATAGCACTTTTAAAAACAACTTTTTTTGACCATATTACTGTACAATAAAATAATCAGATAAAATTTAAAAGGAAAGTAAAATAAAAGGTAAGAAAATAATAAGAATAAAATAATGACAGACTCATACAGAACTAAAAGCCAAAGAGTAAAAATGGGTCTTTAAGTGGGTGAATGAGTTGAGTCACTGAGTGTTCAGGAGTCTGACGGCTTGGGGGAAGAAGTTGTTTCACAGTCTGGCAGTGACGGCCCGAATGCTCTAGTACCTTTTGCCAGAAGGCAGCAGTGTTTTTCAGGGCCTCAAAAGTAATTGGACAATTGACTGACAAGCAGTTTCATGATCAGATGAGGCCTGTTCCTTTGTTTTTCCAGACAGACTGATTAAGAAGTTAAAAGATCTAGAGTTGATTCCAAGTATTGAACTTGTATTTGGCAGCTTTTAGCTGGAGCTCTTAATCTGAGGTCCACAGAGATGCCCAGATGCAAGAAGAGGAGGCTGAAAAATCAAAATAAAGGTACATCAGCGACATCAAAGAAGAAACTCCACAGAAGACAATGGATAAAAACTGTTCTTTCCTAGGTTACGAAAAAAATTTCACAACATCTAGCCGAGTCAAAAACATCGTTGAGGAGGTAGAGTGAGTGACAACAAAGGTTTACAGCAACAACCACTGGTTACAATCAAGAAACTGATCATACAGCGCTCCACAGTCCAAATGACCCAAAGAAAGTACAAAAGAAACCCAAGAGTTTTTCAAGGCAAAGAAATGTTCAGATTAGTTACCAGATCTCAACAAAATAGAGCAGCTTTACAGATACTGAAGACAAACTCGAGAGTGGAGCAACTGAAAGCAGCTGCAATAAAGGCGTAGCAGAGCAGCTCGAGGGAGGAAACAGTAGTCGGTGATATTCATGAATGGTACACTTCAGACAGTCATTGATTACAAAGGATATTCACCTAAGTATTAACCACAAACCTTATGTTAAAGTTATGCTGGCTTGTCCAATTACTGCTGAGCCTCTGAAAATTTGTTTCTATGTATAAAAATGTTTGTAATGTTTGTTTGTTTAAAGCTGAAAGTCTGCATTCAATCACACCTTGATTGTTTGTTTGAAAATCCACTGTGCTGGTGCAGACAGGCAACATCAGTCCTCAGAGTACAGAGTCGAGTGAAACTCTCAGAGTAGCTCAAGTGGACAAATGCTTTTTGTGGTTCTATTGTACATGTTTCTATTGCAAAGCTATACTGTATATATGGTTCATTATCCTTCTGCCTTCAGTTAATGAAATCTCCTGATGAGAAGAACATAATATATGGGTTATTGAACACATCTGGTTTTCTATTCCGATCTGCAGTGTTAAAATTCATACCAGTTTGTGGTGAAGCCTCAGTTTTCCCAGTGAGATGGATATTTTTGCAACTCTACTTACATTCAAATTGAGTCAAATTCAGACTAATTATGTGCTTTGATCAAATATGAAAGAATTTATGTCAACTCCCTCTTTGACACAGGCTCATGTGTTCTTTTGTTTTTATTTTCCCACAAACCAAGGCATCACCACCGTCCTGACCATGACAACGCTCAGTATCAGTGCTCGCCATTCCCTCCCCAAGGTCTCGTACGCTACTGCAATGGACTGGTTCATCGCCGTCTGCTTCGCCTTTGTCTTCTCCGCCCTCATTGAGTTTGCCGCTGTCAACTACTTCACCAATGCACAGATTGAGCGCGCCAAAAAGAAGCCGGCCAAATGTCCCCCGGTGCCCCAATCCACGCCTGTCAAGGTCAAGGACGCAGAGGAAGTGCTGCAGGTGACTTCTGTTTCTCTCAAAGTGGCTCAATAATCTGATCACACTTTATTTCAAGGAGCACTCACAGAGCATGTCCCTTATTATGTGCTTACTGCCTTTAGCCTACGTTTGAATCATCAGAAGTGGTTCCTGCATGTGAGAGTAGTCAGCTGAGCTCCTGCTTACAGGGTGTTAAGGAAAGCTAGAGAAACCTGGTCCCAGAACTTTACAAATGAAATCTTGCTTGTCAAATTAAAAACGACTGCTTGTTAAAAGACAGAAAAAAATGTGTGTGAGAGAGAAAATAAGACGGGTCTGAAAACAGCTTCACAGCACAGATGTTTGGGAGTAGTCACGAGGTGTGCAACCTTTCTTTTGAAATTATACGTGCATGAACTGACATAAGCGTCTATTTCTGTGTGACGAAGTTTAAGCAAATTGCATCGACACCATGGCAAGTTACATGGATTCAACGAGGATTCATGAATATACCATGAAGCTATTTTAAAGCTGTAAGTCAGATATGATGAATGTGTTGCAGTGCTGTTTATGTAACTGTAGGAATGTGTTCATGGCGCCGGATAAACACGTGCGATGTATTTGTCTCAGCCTGAAGAGTGGAAATCATAGGTCATCTGTTAACCGATCATTGAAGTTGACGTAACCCACCAGCGGATATGCCCGTTTTACAGTAACTACTTTAAGTTGTTCCCTTCTGCCTAAATCCCAGTGTGGCGTAATCATGCCTGAATGCAGTATAGTGACAACAGCGCTTCAATGGATTAGGGGGTTGCCATGGCAACGCAGTCCGACTACATCTGTATAGGTTTCAGGATAGCTCTGGCAACAGGGGGGGAAATTAATACTCTCTTCCTCAAGAGCAGGTCCTGTTACCAGAGGGCTTGGCACATGGGTCACAGTGTGTTGATGGTTCCAACTCCTCAGCATTTTACCTCCTCCATGTTGAGACACAAACTCCACGCACACGCACACACTCCTCCTCTGCTGCACACGGGACACAATAACATTGGATCCTTTCTAATTCAAGGGGTGGGGGTGGTGTTGGTGGATTATTCCTGCGAATGCCTTAGTACCAGCATCACACTCTGCTTGAAAACATCAACTTTCAAAGGATAAGCTCCTTTGACGCTACAGTGCATTACCCCGATGCGGTGCTACCTACTTTCTGTCTTAAGCTTGTGTGAAGTGAGTGAAAGCCATGGTAAGTGACACCTGTATTACGCACAGTCTGTCGTCTGCCTTCACAAATCAAGGCCATCTGTGTCGGGGGACTGTGATCAGATCAATATGACAAAGTTTGTGGGGAGGAAGTAAACTTCACCTATCCTGCAAACTCCTTCAAACAGGAAGAAGAAAGGAGAGACGAAAAAATTCTTTGCACGAAATATGTTTATTGTTTTAACACTCCTTTTTTTTTTGCTAACATCAATTCAATGGTTTATATTTTAAGATTAAGCTTCTACAGTAATACAGAGAAATAATCTCCCGAATCCAAACTGAGAGCTGGTTTCAATAACAAACTCAATCAAGAATTCCAGTTGGATTTGTCCAGTGTTATCAATAAGTGGTGGCATGGTGTTACAGGGGTTAAAACTATTGTCTGTCAGATGGCTTTTGGTTCAAACTGGTTGGGTTTCCTCAGTAAAGACATATCGTAGGATAAATGGTAATTCTAAATATAAAGGTAGAGGTGGATAAAATGCTTAAAGTGCATAGAATAAAGTAGTGCATCATTGCATTATTAAATCTGGCCTGTTGTGCAGAGGGCTTTGGGGGCTGCATTTGGAGAACTTTGAACATGGTGATAAATCTGGAAAATTCCTTGCTAACCACTTCAAGCTAAGTACAGAAAAAAACAATTTATTCTAGAAAGGACTGCACTGGAAACATTATTTACAATAATACACAACAAATAAGCCTTGGCCTCTGTTGGACATGGGCACGGAGGGAGGAGTTCACCATCCCCATCACTCCCCCGGTTTTTGTTGATTCCGGGGACTGTGGCTGGATGTTCTGGTGTCGTCACTGACCCACTCACTCGGTGGTCTTGGAACTCCTTCTGTCGCTTGGACTTCTTTTGTGGCGCCAAGAACTTCCCAGACAAAGGTACCAAGCGGTTCTTGGGCACCTGGAGCCTTGATCTCGACTCACACTAGAGTGGGCAGCTACAGTGGGGTCGGCTGCCCGTCGCCACTGGTCCTTTGGGACTCCCACCCCTTGGCCGTGCGGACCCCATCTAGGGCCTTTCTCATTCTCCTGCTGGAATGAGCGTGCAGATATTGCAGAGATGTGTGGACTTAGGTCTTCAGAACTCTTGAGGGCTGCGGATGGCACGGTTCTCTGGCCGGCTCCCCACCCTCAAGTAAATTTCTTAACAAAGACACACACCCACACTCGACACTCTCTCTCTTTCTCTCTTTCACCCCCCACCCCCACCCCCCAACAAGAAGATTGTTGATTTATGTACCTGCGCATTTTCAAATTTTTGTGTTCCAGGTGTTGTATGTTCTTTTTTTCTTACAGGTGCAGCAGTTGGCGATAGATTTGTATACTGAGTGGGCCATTTATATGGATACACCGTAATAACATGGGAATGGTTGGTGATATTAAAGTCCTGTTTGGGGCACAGTAGTATATGTGAGGGGGAAAAATCCTCAAGATGGGTGGTGACCATGGTGGCCATTTAGAAGTCGGCCATCTTGGATACAACTTTTGTTTTTTCAATAGGAAGAGGGCCATGTGACACATCAAACTTATTGGTAATGTCACAATGAAATGTATTTCAAGCTGTTAAACTGAACTAAAACACGAGGAACAAATTTAAATGTCAGTGTCAGTTTCACTTTCTTATCAGCCTGACTCAAATATGGTTATTCTCCTCTCTCGCAGCAAAATCCTGATACGAACGGTAATCTGAGGAAGCGCATGAATTATATCTCCCACCAAGAGTCGAGCAGTCAACAGAGAGCCCAGTCCACCACCAACATTGCAGGAGTAGGGCGAGGAAGGCCGCTGCGACCTTTAGCCGGTGGAACCAATGGCAGCTCCTCCACCCTCTCCCGCTCCAGCCCAAAGTCTGAGAGCCTGCTCAGCGTCGCGTCTTCCTCAGCGCAGCTGGTGAAGAGTACGCCTCAGGGTGCAGCTTCTACGCCAGACGTAATGGCGGGGACACCGTGCAAGCAGAACGCCAGCACTTCCTCTCTGCAGCATCTGCTGGGCCCGAAGCTGGAGCGCATCCAGATGATGGGGAACAAACTGGAGCCGAAGCAGACGCCGTGCTCCCAGCCCACCACTGCTGGTATGGGCGGAACCAGTAAAATTGACAAGTATGCACGGATCCTCTTCCCCGTGTCGTTTGGCGCATTTAACATGGTCTACTGGGTGGTTTACTTATCAAAGGACATGATGGTGGCTAAAGGTGGCTAGACGTGTCTTTTAACACATGGGAAGTAAATAAGGATTACTGGAGTTTGTGAACATTATGTAGAACGTGTTGTTTTTGCCAAACAGATGAACAAAATGTGCCCATAAAGCACTTAAGAATATATTTATTTTTTTCTTCCTGAGTCCTGAAACTGCAAGCATGGGAACAAGCGAGCAAAATTAGAAAAACCTGACTCAACATAAGAAGGAACACCTGCACACTGGAGTATGCTACTGTCCTCTTTCTATTACATCGTGCTTCATTTGACTGAAAAGGTCCTCATCAGCTTCAACTGATCTCTTCTGGCCTGCAGTCAAGATAAAGCATGGATTTTATTCATTTTCCTATTTTTGTACCCTGCACCTGGCAAGATGCGTGGACGTGTGTGCCATTGTTCTGAACTCAACTGCACCAACACTGTAAATATATAAATTTATTAGGATAAACAGATTTATATTTAATGAATACAGTTTACTTCCTTTTGAATAATTAAAACGTGTTGCTTTTGGTGCCAGCAGGTTAGAGGTTGCAAAATTAAAACGAGGGATTTCAGAATGGAAAATTGTTGAATGTTGGCCAAAAGGGTTTGAAAGTAAAATGGATTTGGCCAGAATGAAAGTCCTCAAACCAGGCTGAGTGGAGCTTTGGCCAGGACCTGATCAACCATGAAAAGCTTCTCTTGTATAGTACCTACTGCAAAGCATCTTTCACATACAAGAAGGATTAACTAATCTGAAATAGCGAATATGAAATTTGTGGATAAGTCGGGCAGAAAATAGTAAAGACAAGTTATGAATTCATGTAACAGTAGGCTTTAAGCTTCTTTCCAGCCGTAACAGATTGCGAATAGCAGACAAAGATTGTGTAAGTGATTAAAAAAGAGCCATAGCATGAACAAACACAGGGAGCAGAACACAAAGCCATTTGCTCGTAGACCACTGTGGCAATAAAATAATGAGCTGGTTGTTTGTTTCGAGACATTTCGGCGTGCTCAACAAAAGAATGTGACTCAACAGCAGCTCCAGGGGAGAAACACAACATCTAACTGCTGTCATCCACATTCTTAAATGTGTTTCCGTGCACTTTGATTTTGGGCATAAAACATTATTTAATTACTCTTCATGGGAAAGATCTCTCGTGTGTGTCTATGGAGCACACTCACTTGCTATCAAAACTACAGCAGATACACAACACGTCGAGCACATTTTGAAGGTTGAAATAACTTTTTCTCTCCTGTTTGGTAACCCCAGTGTCAGCTGACGCAGGGCTGTTGGTCACTAAGTTGACAGCTATTAGTAGGTTATGGAATTTATTAG